CTGGAACTCTCTGGCTTTCTCCATAATCCAACGCATGTTAGCAATTTGGTCTCAAGTTCCTCTGCCCCTTCGGAATCCAGCTTGTACTTCTGGGAGTTCTCGGTCCATATACTGCTGAAGCCTACCTTGCAGGATTTCGAGCATAACCTTGCTAGCATGTGAAACGAGTGCAATTGTGCAGTAGTTGGAGCATTCTTTGGCACTGCCCTTCTTAGGGATTGGGATGTAGACTGATCTTCTCCAGTCCTCTGGCCACTGTTGAGTTTTCCAAAGTTGCTGGCATATTGAATGTAGCACCTTAACAGCGTCATGCCCCATGATCAGAAACAAAAGTTACAAGGTTAACATTAAGCAATGACAAGTAATAAGTGGCATAAGAACATAAGAAGAGCCTTGCTGGATCAGGCCAAGGACCTATCTAGCCCAGCTTCCTATATCTCACAGTAGCCCCACCAGATGCCTCTGGAAGCACACAATACAACTAAATATGTGTCTCCTGGCATTTTGATGTACCTTCTTTACAAGCCTGCAGATTATACATCCTTAACATGTGTCCTTGTGCTGACTCTGTTTGAGATCTTTTTTTTTAAGCTGAAGCATGCTTTTGGAATCCAACACCTGGGGTGTGGGAAAAAACCCCAGGGAACCGCCACTGGGGCCAGCCCAAATTAGCAGTTGAATGAAATCAGGGAGAGAATCTCTGATAGAATGAAGACAAAGACAGTGATTTTACAGATTTTTGATAACACTTAGTGAAAACATTAATCAATGAAGGAATACATCATATAAAATAGTAAATAATACCATTCATTAGTAGTATGCAAAGCCATCCCATAGGGAAGTGTTAATATTATTGGTAATAATGGCATCAAGCAAATCAGCTAATTTATGCTCAATAGAAAGCTGGAAATTATGGAAGCAAATAATACTTTGAGTACCTATTACAGTACAAAAGCCTGTATGAAGTATGTGCAAGCACGATGCGATGCTCTAACTGAAAGCTACTTTAACTGGTGTACCGTATTTCACTCTGCAGATCTACCATAATTCATGTAGTAGCATTAACTGTTTTTTCCAGGCAACAAGTCAGACCCGCTATGCCTGCACACCTGTAATAACATTTGGGTGCCCACTCTGGGGTTCACAAAAATAATATTGATGGGTTATGTAACAATGGAAGCCTTTCTTCTGCTATAAATAGTTGACATTGTGGGATTCTGTGAGTAGACTGGCATCTCCACTGCTGTTGCTGTGTGCTACCAAGTCACCTCTGACTCATGGTAACTTTATGAATGAGCAATCTCCAAAAATCCTGTCCTCAACTGCCCTAATCAGGTTTTGTAAACTCATGACTGTAGTTTGCTTTAGGGAGTCAATCCACCTAGCACTTGATCTTCCTCTTTTCCTCCGAACTTTCCCAGCATTACGGTCTTCTCCAGAGAATCTCTGATGTATCCAAAGTAGGACAGCCTCAGTTTCAGCATTTTTTCACAAAGTTCTTCTCCAGCACCATATGTCAACGGAATCATAGTTTTTGACTTCTTAATGTTGTGTTTTGGTATCTTACTTCTGGGAGTTCTCGGTCCATATACTGCTGAAGCCTACCTTGCAGGATTTCGAGCATAACCTTGCTAGCATGTGAAACGAGTGCAATTGTGCAGTAGTTGGAGCATTCTTTGGCACTGCCCTTCTTAGGGATTGGGATGTAGACTGATCTTCTCCAGTCCTCTGGCCACTGTTGAGTTTTCCAAAGTTGCTGGCATATTGAATGTAGCACCTTAACAGCGTCATGCCCCATGATCAGAAACAAAAGTTACAAGGTTAACATTAAGCAATGACAAGTAATAAGTGGCATAAGAACATAAGAAGAGCCTTGCTGGATCAGGCCAAGGACCTATCTAGCCCAGCTTCCTATATCTCACAGTAGCCCCACCAGATGCCTCTGGAAGCACACAAGACAACTAAATATGTGTCTCCTGGCATTTTGATGTACCTTCTTTACAAGCCTGCAGCTTATACATCCTTAACATGTGTCCTTGTGCTGACTCTGTTTGAGATCTTTTTTTTTTTAAGCTGAAGCATGCTTTTGGAATCTAACACCTGGGGTGTGGGAAAAACCCCAGGGAACCGCCACTGGGGACAGCCCAAATTAGCAGTTGAATGAAATCAGGGAGAGAATCTCTGATAGAATGAAGACAAAGACAGTGATTTTACAGATTTTTGATAACACTTAGTGAAAACATTAATCAATGAAGGAATACATCATATAAAATAGTAAATAATACCATTCATAAATGTTAACAATGAAGAAATTGAAATAGTTGGAGAATTTTAGATCATGAAGTGTGAGAATGTGTCACTGGAGACTAAGACCAAAATCATCCACTATCTCATATTTCCAGCCACCATGTATGGGTGTTAAAGTTGGATAGTAAAGAAATCTTCTAGGAAATAATTGAATTTATTGAAATGTGATACTGGAGGAGAGCTTTGTGTATACCTTGGACGGCCCAAAAGATGAACAAATGGGTCCTAAAGCAAATCAAGGCCAAGGTTTCTCTGGCGACAAAAATGATAAAATGGAAACTCTCCTACTTTGGGCCGATCATGAGAAGGTAAGATTCTCTGGAAAATGCAAACATGCTGGGTAAGGTAGAAGCAGCACAAAAAGAGGTGCCATCTCCAAATACAAGATGGATTGGCTTCTTAAAGGAACCGCAGGCTTTAATTTGGAGGAGGTGATTGGGACTGTTGAGAACAGAACATTTTGGAGATCACTCCTTCATTGGTCAGAGATGACATGATGGTACATAACAACCACAACATTGCCAAAAAGACAAGTAAGTAGGTGCCAGTCCAATCAAGTTTCAAATCT